CCTGCCGCAGCCCCGCCGCGGCTGCACCGCGCACACGGCCGGACATCCGCGCTGCGAAACCCCGCGCCCCGGCGGCGAGGGAGCGAGAACACCCCGCCTCCTGCGGATGSTTCCCCAGGTCAACAACTCAAACAAGAGAATTATCAATAGAAACAATTTCCTCTATGGGCACTTACAGAGGCGGGATTGACCTGAAGGATGGAAACCTRGAAGGGGTTTCCTCTCTGGTGTCAGTATCTTAGATTATAAGAACCACATCAAATACAGGAAGTGTTGGTCCGGTATGCAAGTTACAGAGTGAAGCTATAAATTTTCTCAAGTTCTTCTGTGTTCAGTGGCGATCTGCATTTGCACAGTACAAAAGAAGATAACACCTGTTTATACAAAGATTTTATTTTATACACATTTACCTACAAAATATACAGCAGTTAAAAATAATGGATGGGCAGAAGACTTACTGGAAAAAAAAAATCCAGAAAACAATTCTTAAAGTTTCAACTGACAAAGTAACATCAATAGGCTGCCTTTAAAAGCCAGTCTACCCTGTAGTAGGGGTTACTGAAGTTGCAAAAGCTTTGCAGTTAGAGTCAATTTAAAGAGTTCAAAACATTTAAAAAAGGCACCTTGAACAACTTAAACTCTTAAAACTTGACAGTTTTAGCTTTCAAAAGTTACACTTTATGCATATATCATCCATATCTTGTTGTTAACACCCTGAATAACAAATTTTGTTCTTTTATTGTGGCACTCTTTAGATTTTTTTTCACCAAATCTTAAGTTATACACTTGCAATACTAGTTTCATATTCTGWCTATCACAGCATAAAAATCCACTCAGAATGGTCGGGTGGACTTTAGATACAGTACAACCTTACAATTGGGAAGATACAAGCATATTTAAGACAATTTTTAAAAAATTAAAACCTTAAAACAAGTGTTTTGAACCAGATCAAACAAAGAACTATGTATGACCACAAAGAAAGTGGCTGGTGCATTATATACACAACTTGACAAATGTGATCCTTGATAAATTTGCGAAGTTCTTAAACAGTAAGACCAGTTTTCTCCAGCACAGTCAGTCTTCCTACGAGCCTTTAAACCAGTTCCAAAATGAGTGACCAGGAGACAAGGACAGCTGTAATGAGGAAGTGTGCTAATAAAACATCAGGAGACTGGAAAATGTTCCTTTCAATGCTCTCCATGAGAACAAGAAAATCCATACACCAGATATTACTTTTTTTTCTGAACATTGGCATTGATCTGCTATTTACAATAGCTTACGAAGACACATAACACAAATGAGGTTTCATTTTCAAGTTCAACTTCATTGCCGATTAACATACTTCACCTGTATGTTCTGTTCTAGCTGAAGTAAAAAAGTGACACTAATACTGAAAAAGAGGTAATCAGAAGTAGCAAAAGCACTGATAATGTGATAACAAAGAATTTCGATAAATAGTCAAGAAAGTAATATTGCACACTTTCACTGTCAACTGTGTTAAGACTTTTACTCCCAGGCAGTGACAATCAGTCCCATTTGATTTTTTGCTGTCATACTACCTTAAAAAAGGTCATTTTTGGTTTCCATGGCAGTGGAAAAAAATGAAGGAAGACAGCCCTTATTGAACATGAGGCCTAGGTTTCAAAATTAATTTTCCAGTCTGCAAGACAGAAGAGAAAATAAATAAAGTTTAAACCCTGAAAGCTGAACCCAACAATTTCGCTTCAAGTTCAGTGATACAGGGAGAATTTAAAACATGCAAAGCAATCCTCAGTATTCTACATTCCAGTTTTACAGACACACAATTTGCTGAGGCATAAGTACTGTTCAGAAAAACAAACAGTATATTTTTAAAAATTATTTCCTTTTTTTACAAACATGTTAGACAATGAAGCACTAACACTTACATCATCACAGGACATATTATATTCTGCCAAAACAGTTCGACATCGGGCTGCTATACTGTRTGGATTGTGTCAAGGAAAGCAGCTAACACTTGTATACACAGTAAGCAAAAACTAAAAAAGCAGTATTAGCATAGGCTTCAACRTCTGCAGTAACTACACTTTTAACCTGGTAAACATTATCAAAGGATACATTGATGGTGCCACCACTCTTTTATGTATTCCAGCAAAGAACAAGCCTATWAGGGTAATACAGCTAATTGTGAAAAACGGGTGATTCCAAAGTGATGTGAAAAATGATACCTAGGAAAGAAAGCAGATTAGTYCCATTGCATACTTTCTAAAACACACAGAAAGTCACTGCCTAGATCGCTTAACTAAAAATAAAGTAMTGCTCCTATCCATTTCCAAGTACTTGTGAACAATTCTTTAGATAAGCATTCAGGGTACAGTWCTTTGGCAAGCATTGTCCCAGGACACATTCCACAACAATTCCAGACAGCTTGAGAGCTTTACTAAAAATCATCTCCCYGTTTCATGTGAGAACCACGTTTAACTTTTCAGTTTTCAATGTATCACATGACTGCAGCACCAAGCTATGGAACACACCACATTTGGCATTAGCTTGACCTTACCTTTTGTGTCTCTGGGTCTATTAACCAGTTCCAAGCCCCAGTTGCTGTGCAGACTGATACCACTATCAAAATCACTAATGAAGAAAAGAATGAGAGTCAAGAACAATATACCTCACTCATATTTTTAAAAGCACTTTTTTCTAAGCAGCAACTCTTAAGCATTTATTTCTTTTCTCACTTTTGAGGGAGGAAAAGCTTCTAATTGGAAAGCAGAAATGAAAATATGCAAAGAAACTTCTAATATGTGAAACCCTAAAGATTCTGTACAAGTTTCCTGGACAGGACAAGTACAYATAAAAATCTAAATTCTGTTAAGGAAAAGCATCCTAATCCTTTGAGGAAACCAAAGTTATCTTTTCAAAAGAAAGTTGAAAAAGATCCATCAAAAGCATAATGCTTCTTCTCTACAMTATAGAGATACTTTCTTTTCAGGATAACAGTAAGTGAAGTTAACATTGGTTTAAATACCCCATTATAATTAAAGTAGCAAAGGCCTCTTATGTGAGTTACAAAACAAGCGGTTTGGGAAAAAAACCATGAGCCACTGAATACAATACTAGTTAATGCAAACCTCATTTAAATATGCTTTTTTAATTATAAACTGACAGTAAATAGCRATTTTGGAAGACAAATACATTCCTAAAGTAGTCACGTGCAAACTAAGCAGAACTACACATAAATATCTGCTTGACTCCTGATTGCTCTGAAACAAGGGGGTTTGAGGTGCTGGCTGGTTTTGCTTTTTAAGTAGTCATTCTTTCAGTTCCTTCATCCAAAATTGACCTCGCAGGAGAAAAAAATATTATTTTACAGGTTCTAAAAAAAATCTATATTCTTTGAGTAGGAAAACTTCATCAGTCTCAAACATAAAAAAAAAACAAAAAAAGTTGTGTGTTTCCACCACAGACTACTGATCCCAAAGTTGGCAGCATATCTTCGGTATTTTTTGCCTTTTCCCYCTCCTTCAAACTTTCCTGTCATAACAGAGTGGCCTTTATGGCACATTGCTACTTTTTCATCTTCAATTTTATAGGGACTATCTCACCTGGTGACATTTAGTTTAAGTAACTATAGCAACTGTCTGGCAAGTCTGYGCCTTCAAGAAAAAAACCCCAAAAACATAAAAACCAGAATAAAACAGAAACAAACGCAACATCTTATTGTACCAACCATTTCCAAAATAGTTCAGCCTTGAGCCAATTCMATCTTAACCTTATTTTTCTAACTCTGGCTAAAGTATTAGTTTATTATCCTGTATTAACTTGTTGCAGAGTGTTTGAATGTATATCACAAATTTTAAAACAAATTTAAATACAGATTTTGTTCTGGGCAAGCTTAAATAAAAGATACACACTGGTAAATCAAGAAAGCTCAACAGACAGAATCCTATTTATTCCTTGAAACGTCAAACTTACTTCTCCAACGTCCTGTAGCTGGTTGCAAACATGCAATGTATTCAGTAAGTCTTCTTTCAAAAGCTTTGAGATCTGGGGAGGATGTATATCAAGCATAATTAGATCTTCATCTRTTTAGTCAAATTTTAAAGTAGAAGRTWAAATGAATTCACTTTTSCCCTGTGCACACCCAATTCTTAAGCAGGCAGAGAAAACCAATGCAATGATCATTTATRCGCCATTAAAGCCCAATCATAGTAGTTTTACTCAACTTCAGGTAAAAGTACAGCGGTTCAGTTAAACCAAATGCAAGAAACATTCACTTTTAATGAAGAAAAATCAATACAACTGAGAAATCACACTATTTCAGACATCTTTAGAAATAACTGAGTTAAGATTTATAGTAGCTTAAATTGTGTCTCAAAACAAAAAAAAAAAAATCACATTTTGAGGTAATAAGTGGATCAGGCAACCATTAAGTTCTATTATCAGTATAATGGCAATTGAAAAAGATAAGCTGGCCATTCGCTGCTGTTCAAAAGGTTATTTGTAGCAGCGTGGCTCTGATAACTCTGCTTGGCAGAAACTTTGAYTATCATGATATATATACACACACACATGCAAAAAATCCCACAGCAAATACTACTCCAATGGTCTTATTCTGATCATTATTATTTTAAAATAGATCTTTCTTCTTAATCTATCATTCTCCCATGGTCTTTCCACCGAAATTGCTGTTAAATCCCTTTCAAGTTGATACTCCTAATTGTCTCCAAGGAGCTGTTTCACCTTAAGTCCAGGTTAGATTTAYGCATCTGTTCAACAAGGTCAATATTTGACAACATTCCAGTCAAAGCTAAAATTCTACCTGGAGTTAAGTTTTAATTAGGATCAACTTAACTTTCAGCTAAAGTCTCCATCAGCATCAACGCAGAACTTCTATAGCTATAACTATATTAGTTATCACAATGAAACAATTAAAGAATAAGATTAGAGGAAATAAATCTATTATGATCACTACAAAAGCTTTCCAAACTGTGAATTTATTCGTAGGTGGTCTGCAGGTGATTTTATGGGGGAAGACTACAGCCACAGAACAGCTAACTAGTCTTAATTACTGCCAAGAACACGGTACTTAATGGCCTGTCCTCCACTTCCCTTCTGGGGCAGTTAAACCACTGCCGGCAATTACAGCTAATTAACTGTTCCCTGACTAGCACAAACCCCTCCAACTAGTCACTGAACTGAGAGGGGGAACACAAGGCTCCACATGAACACCTGCTCTTTG